CAGCCCCCAGGGACTTCACCTGCCTGCCATGACTTTTCAAATATCATGGAGAGGGGCTTGGCAACTACATCAGCCAATTCCCTCAGGACTCTGGGACGCATCTAGACAAGTCCCATAGACTTATGTATGTTCAGGTTCCTCGGGTGGTCATGAACCTGATCTTCCACTGTTCCCAGTGGGTCCTTCTGACTAAACTCCTTGAAGAGCTGGAAGTTTGCTTTCCTACTGCAGCCCAGGCTGCTTTCCCTGATGAGCTCACTTGCATTAGTGACCATCAGGTCCAATATTGCATCCCCTCACGTAGGGGTGGCTAGTACCTGGCTTAAGAAGTTGTCCTCAATGCATTCTAGGAATCTGCTGGATTGCCTACAGCTCTCCATGCTACTTTTCCAGCAGATGTCGTGGTGGTTGAAGTGCCCAGTAGGACAAGAGCCTGCAAGCGCGAAGCCTCCTGGAGTTGGAGGAAGAAGGCTTTGTCAGTAGGCTCCTCTTGATCTGGCAGACCTGTAGTAGGCACCAACCACTACGTTCCCTTTGTTGCCTCTCTCTCTGATTCTTACCTATAAGCTTTCGACGTGCTCATGGCTATTTGTCAGGGACAGCTCTTCACACTGCATTGATTTCTTGATGTAGAGGGCAACACCTCTGCCCCTCCTTCCTCGCCTGTCCCTTCTAAACAGCCTGTAGCCATCGATAGCCATATTCCAGTCAGGGGATTTGTCCCACCAAGTTTCCATAATGGCAATCAGGTTGTAGCTTTCTAGAAGCACAGTAGCTTCCAACTCCTCCTGTTTGTTTCCCATGCTGCGTGCGTTTGTATAGAGGCATTTCATCTAAGCTGTTGGCCATGTCACCTTCTTAGTGGAACACCCCTTGTTTCCCTTAAGGTGTTTCACGGAAGTTTCCTTGTTGGATCCTACTACCTCAGGAGCCCCCAGCTCATCTCTGCAAGACTTCGACTGTACTGCTGTGTCCCCAGCACACCTCTGGGCAGCAGGTTGAGGGCTCATACTAGCACCCTGTCCCTCTAACCCTTGTGTATCATCCCACAGCTTGTCACAGGCAAGCCTGATACATTCCTCCTCGTTCCCCCTCCTGCTTTGCATTTAGTTTAAAGACCTGTCAACGAGTCCCACAAGCTCCTGAGCAAAGAGCCTCTTTCCCCTTTGAGACAGGTGGCTCCCATCTGACGCCAGCAAGCCTGGTGCCATGTAGGCCATTTGCATTAAGCTACCCATTTTGTCCAGTTTTTATGCCTTTCAGATGCTGTTGATCATAGCATAGCATATGATTAGGTACAATATTATCTGATTAAACTATTGTATGAATTAGCTAGGGATGTGTAGGTAGGGCCAGACTGACATACGTACTTTTTCCATGCCCATGGCTAAGAAGACTTTGGATACTAGTCCTGATCATATATCATATCATAGTGAACATTTAGCAAAATCATGTTAATAGAAGCATTGTACTACAACATATTTTATGGCTGGCAGAGTTGGAGGCTTCTGAGAAAAAAAAAATTAAAAACCAGGTCCTTCATAAGGAATTTAAAATACACCGAGAATGAAAATAAATTTCTCTTATTCTTGCAGTGTGTGGAGGATGTCTTTTTAAGCAAATTCTGTACATCCTACCCCAGTTCAAACGGTCCAGTTACATCCTTCAAAGAGCACTCATCCTCTGTCCTTTAAGGAATACTCCAACACTGATCTCAAAGCCATATTTATCGTCCCTACACCTGAAGCTTGGAGGGTGAACTCTCACTTGCCCAAGGTATTTTCATACACTGCCCCTGCTAAGACAAACTGCCGGCCTGGGTATGGCAGGCAGCATGGTACTGAGTGCACCTCGAGCCCAACTTTCCTCGTGACAGGCTTTGCAGATACCAAGCAAAGCATGATAAACCAGCTGAGCTGTGCTGTTTGGTGGCAGCTGAGATGTACGAGGGTCTGCAGACAGCAAGGTAGGCCTGCTGTGAAATGCATTGCTGCTTTGGCATCTCACTCTTCCTACCTATTTGGCATGACAGTCTTGACATGTCTGGATGTCTTGCTGTGTCAGTTAAAAGGAGAACGGTAGACAGTGGTTGAATATAAGTTGCCAAGAAATTAGTGGGTTCTCTAAGATTGTTGAATTCACCAGGTTTTTTTTTTATATAACAGTTAATAAAGAGAAGTCCATCTGCCTGGACTGAGTGTGTTGCAATCAGCTATTTTAACAGTACACAGTTTCACAACGAAGTTTCATTTAGACATAAAAGAGGAAGCAAGTTCAGCGTGTTGCAGTTCAGTCAGCTATAAAACCCCCTTATCTCCTAAGGGACTTCCTTTCTATACTTCCGTGCTATAGAAGATTAGAAATAAAACTCATGTCATCTTAGAAGTGTATTTGAAAAGGAAATAAAAACAGAACGTTGCATTTTGGGGTAGGACAGACTCACGGGAAGCTTTAAGCTGGTTAGAAGACAACAAATTTTCTGCACCTGGTCAGCTGCTGTATCTTTGGAGGTAAGAACTAAGATATACTATGCGTTGCATAAATGTATGAAAGTGTTGCTCTTGCTTATTGAAGTGGCTTCAGTTCTGTTTGTGTGGGATCACATCTGGTAGCTGGTGAAATGAAGATGTACTGTTTCTGGTTTGAATGCAGGCGTGTGTTTGCAGAGTCTCACCGCTGTCCCCATGCAGTTTCTGCTGCCTTAAGAAGCGAGGAGAACGTTTTAAAAGTGCCATCTTCACAGGTGTGACTGACCATGATTGCAATGCAACTTAAAATGCAAAAAAAATTGTTCCTCTGATATTTCTAAAGTCTTTTCGTGAAATTGTACTAAAAATGTTTTTCAGAATATTTTTAAAGGGAGTCTTAGCAGATGTGTTGCTTTTATCTTAGTTATACTATTTTTATTGATCTTTCTGCTCATGTTAGTGTACTGTCTAAATAGTGTCTTTGAAGTTGAATACTCTATTAGTAGACTAGAAATAAAAATAAGCACCGTAATAGCTGAACATGGGCATCCTATCAAAAAGAAGTTCATAGAAGAAAAGCTGAGACTTCTCTGAAAACAAGCTGATGTTTGAAAATATAAAAGAAGAAGCTTTATCATTATATTTTCCTGGTTCACAGCAAATTTCCTGGTTCAGAGCTTGACACGGGTGTACACACACGGTACGCACCCTTCCCCCTCTTTTTTCTACTCTACAGCAGATGTGACCAACGTTTCAATGCTCATTAGTGCACCATTTCCCTCACTCCTCCTGGGAAACCCCTTCAGCCTTTTCTGTCTTTCTTGTTTTACCATTTATTCTTTTAACTTCTAGAAAGTGCATTCTCTTCTGTAAGAGTGAGTATGAATTTATTTTCTCTTTACTTCAACTGCTTGGGTACAAAATATTGCAGTCCATATGGTTCAGTCCTGACAACAGCCAACAACTCATTAAAATAAACACAGAAATCCAGAAACATGAAATGGTTTTCACCCCAGAAAGACATAAAAGCACCGAGTAGAAATATGTAGCCAGGTCAACCTTATGCATGTGGAGCCCCATCCTTTCCTGCCTCACATTTCATGTTGCTTACAGCTGTGGATATGAGATGTAAAATGCTATCAAACCAGATTGATGGTGTCCTAAAACAACTTTGGGTATTGGTGATTAAGAAAAGTGTGGAAAATTATGAACCAGGCTTACTCTGTATGAAGTTTCAAGGAACTTGAACTGATAAAACAGGCTTGGATGGGAAATTGTTTGAGAGTTCAGGAAGCTGCATTTACCCACATACAGTTTTCATTGTATTTTTAATGGAAGCCTGTTCCCCCAAACTCCACTTAAAGATACAACAGCACTCAAATATACAGTAAGAATGTATTTTTTTTTTCTAAATGAAAGAAGCCAGCTGGTCCTGAAGCTCACTATCTATTTAGCATGATTAAAAGTGGGCAGACAGTTGTATAACAAGAACATTAAACAGTACAATATATATATGTGTTCTTGGGGAAGATGTCTCTACTCACTTGCTTCCTTCAGCCTGTCCTTCAAGGAGATTCCCTCATACTCTTGGAACACAGGACTGGTATCCTCTCAAACCTACTCTGCTTGTTCCCCCCGTGGGAACAAGCCCATATTCCTCCGTGGGAGAGGTACTTCTAGCTTTCCTGCATCTCTTCAACTGTTGACGTGAATAAAGAAGATGAGCAGGGCTCATGTTTTCTTCTGTGGGAAGACAAAAAGATCAGAATGAAGAGAGCTGAGGGGAGGTGACAAGAGGGGTTTGGCTCACGACCACTGCTGAAACAGCCTCACAGCATGGTCCCACAGGTCCCAGATCTTCCAGAGCAGCAGCAGCGGCAGTGGGGAGAGGAAGTTACGCAGGCAGCGGGGAGCTTTCAGATGCTTGTGCAAAAGCACCTCTTAGCTATTCCTCTTCTGCCATGGGAAAAGCGGGCCAACTCCTACCTCAAAATAGCAGCCACAGTTGTCGTAGAATCAGAGTCGTAGTACAGCCCCTCTTGGAAGGGACCTTGAAAATCTCTCTGGTCCAACCTTTCATGGGAAAGGGAGCTCAGATGAGATTACCTAGCACCCTGTCCAATTGCACCTTGAAAACCTCCAGCGATGGGGATCCCACCATATCCCTGGGGAGGCTGTTCCAGTCATTCATTGTTCTCACTGTAAAAAATTTCTTTCTTAGGTTGAGGTTAATTCTCTCCCAGTGCAACTTGTACCTGTTGCCCCTTGTCTTCTCCATGTGGCTCCTTGTGAAGAGAGAGCCTCTGTCCTCTTTGTAGCTACCCTGTAAGTACTGGAATACTGTGATGAGGTGTCCTGTCCCCCCCTCTTTCAGCAAGGCCGCTCCCCAGCCACATCAGGTCCTAGCCTGTGCTGGGCTCTTTGGTTATGTCGTCCCACCTGCAGGACCTTGCACTTGTCTCTGTTGAACTTCACAGTGTTATTGCCAGCCCACTCTTCCAGCCTCTCCAGGTCTCTCTGTAAGATGGCTCTCCCTTCTGACGTGCCCACCTCTGCACGCAGTTTAATGTCATCAGTGTTGCCTTTACCCAAGCCAGCCCTGGGCACTGGAGATAGCCCTTATCAAATGGGGTTCACATACCAAAGACCTGTGGGTTTCAGGCATTAAGGAAAGGCTATACTCATCCATACGCACAGTTCATTTTACTGCCTGCTTGACTCTCCTGATTTCCCTGCGCTGGCTGAATGGAGGCTTCCTGGGAGCTGTTTCACACCGGCCCCAGTGGGAGGTGGGGTATGGGTCCTGCAACATATGCAGGCTCGCTCCCCAGCCTATCCTGCTTGCCAGGTGAACTCTTGCATGCATGTCCTGCAATCTGAGGTAGATCCCAAACCTCACCGCGGGGATCTGTTTGTATCTCCACAGCCTGGAGAAGTGTCTCTTAAATTGGAGAAAAATACGCCAGATGGATCCATAGGATCTGGGTTCCCTTGAGACAGGGAGACTTTGTCATCTGGGATATAGTAAGTGACCGAGAACTTAAGGTGTACGCTGTGATAAAACTTGAACTCCAGCTACCGGCTGCACGACTTTAGCACCATTCAGAGCCCTACTCAAGGATCTGAAAGCCAGACATACTCAAAACAAGCTTGCCTCTTCTATGAGTTTCCATCCTCTCCTTTTGCAATGCAAACGAATGTCCCTTTCCCCACTGAGCTGTGATCCCAGCTGGCACCACGTTCTTTCCGCTCTCCCTAGCAACTTTTCATCTTGCTCAGGTTTTTATATAGGACACAATTTATCATATCTCTTTGTGTACACTTCTCAGGCTTTCCTAAGCATTTTGCTTATCCTGAGCCAAGAACTCCCATTCTGTTTGCCTGCTCCCAGACTCTAATCTGAGGTCTGTGTGCAAACATTGGCACCATCTCCAAGCATTATAACCCAGCAAATTTGCTGCCATTCAGAAAATACTGGCAATACCACTGGATTCTCCACATGGCTTTAAACATTCATCCTTCCTTTAGGCTTTTCTTCTCCTGAAGAACTGAACAAAAACCCCAGGGAAGGCATATGAGTTTTTAAGATCATCTGACAGTAATAAAGACAGTGTAAAACAGGCAGTCTTCTCCCTCTGTCTCCCCTGTGTTTGAGGCTTACATAGAACGTAGCCAGCTCTCATTGCCAGGATAGTAGCCACGCAAGGAAAAATCTCTGTGCACCTCACATGCAAAATGCATCAGATCAGAATTGTAAAAGGGACTTTTTTCCCTTGTGTTGTGAAAGTCAAGCAGTTATTTTCAGGAAGAGGGAAGTGAAGTCTGAATTTAAGGAGCATGAAACCCTAAAGTATTGAAAGATGTAAGATATAATCCCTGTGCACTTGGAAGCCTGGAGTATATGTGCATGTGTGGCATGGAAGGGGGATTCAGAGAAGGGGCACAAGAAAGTAGAATTAGTGAAAACTGTCATCCTTATCAGATGTAAAATACAAGAATTAAATGTGACCCAAATGCGTGACTGGCCATTGGTAGCGATGGAAAAACAACTTCACAGGGGTATATATTATGCTAAGTACTAGGACCAGAGATATATGCACCTCTCTTTTGCATTCAGGCTCTCAACACTGTCTGTCAAAACTTCAATCAGATTTCTTTGCAGAGCTGGGAATATTGTCAGATTAGAGCAGCAGCCCTTGCCAACTTTGGAGGGTAAGCTTGTAACTTATTCAGCAAAACACACAACTCCTGAGGACGATGGGAGCCTAATCTTTTAGAATTTGCCAGTTCTTTTGGTTCCACTTCTGTCTCAGACAGCGTGCTCTAAAGCTCTTAAAATGAGTATCGCAGAATGCAGTGCAAAGAAATGAAACCAGTGGTTTCGTTTCCCTAATGTATCACCTTATGACAGAAAGAACATACATCTTGGGTGGTAGGAAAGACAGATGTGTCACATGCTACCTGAACACAACCGGCTTTGCCTGTGTTGGTTGGGTAGCAAACAGGCCGTATGTTATATTTTCACTCATTTCTCAGAATCCACGTTAAAAATAAGCATAGGAATAAGTGTTCAACAATTCCAGACGTGTGCTAGCCGCAGCTAGTGGTGACCTTGCAATAAAGCCATCTGGGCCATGGATGAGAGGGGGAAGGGAATGGGCTTTGCACTGCAAAAGAGGGGAACAGAAGCAGAGGGGGGGAACAGAGTTGAGAACCTGAGTAGCCCTAGCATTTGGCTAAGACCTCTGCGGTGGCACCTTAATCACAGCTAAAACCTAAAGCGAGACAACAGCAACGTACTGCAGGGAATGCCAAGCCCCAAGCATGTTGGGGTTTTTTTCCCCTCTCACGTAAATAGAGCAGTTTTCATTAAATGTTACCTGCCTGTGGGACATCTCACTACTTGCAGCAGCAGAGAGGATCCAGGGTCACCAAAGCAAGTGTTTGGACACATTTAATTTCCCTGAATACTTCTTTCTGACGGAAGCTTATTTTCCCTCCTGCCTCTTTCTTCATAGCGTGGAAGTGATTTCCCTCCCCTCTCGCCCCCCCCGCCCCGAGGAAAGTCTTTTCTTGCGCTGTTTTCTTCCCAACATCTGCCTAAAGTCTATATCCGTGCTTAGAGAGGATTTAGCCAACACTTATTATTATAATAAGTGCAGCATTTTGCACTAGCAACTGTGACACATGAAACACTTTGTGAAGAAATTAGAGTCTTTTCACTCTTGGAAAAGATAAGTCGAGCAGTTGACAGCAGCACGGGGTAGCACAGTGTGTGCCAGGGAGATGCCACCTCCCCATTCACAGTTTGTGGAAAGATGTTCCCGTTCTGGCACTCCGTCACAGCTGGTGTTTTGAAATAGACAGGCAAACTGTCAAATAACTGGGACATATGTTCATATCTGCAGGGACAATATCCGTGAGGATTAAAATGATATAATTGGATTAAATAGTAAGTGAAGAAAAGTATTCGCTATTAAAACAAAGACAAGTTATTTCTTCCACTATCACACAGGATATTTTGTTCTAGAGAAAGAAAAAACCCAACTTTTATCTTAATTTATTTTTACTTAAGATTCACTTTCTCTTTGCTGGACCACACAATTTCTTCAGGACATCTGTTGACATCTGTTAAAAAAAAGACACAGAGATGGACTGAAGAACACTTAAGTGGTAGTGGAGCTGCTAAAGCTTGTGCAGAACATTTACTGATGTGCAGTTGCATGTGCGTCCTTGCTAGCGAGCCCTGATTTCATTGCCAACATGTCTACACAGCTTTTGAGACTGAGCTGCCTGCTCAGAGAGCGGAGAGCGTTAGTGACTGCTGGAACCTGGCTGTGCCTTTGTAGAAACGCAATGGAAACTGGTTTCAGAGCCGGCGATACTCACGACTTACCCAACAGTGGAGGATCTGGAGTACTTCTGAAATGTGCACTTTCCTATCCATTGCACTGCAATATGTCTCTTCAAACGTACACTGCAGATTTCTGCATCTCGGGCAGTCAGTTTAAGATCCTTTTATAGTAACTGGAGAGCGATAAGGAAAGCTAGGGCACAATTCGTCTCTGTTTGATTTAGGTGCTTAAGACAGGCCAGATAAATCATGCCTCCCAAAAGCCTTGCTTTTGCTACCGACTTTTTCATGTCTAAAAGTTAGAGGCAATTAATTCCATCCTGCTTGGCATGCAGAAGTGCTAAGTGCTAATTTAGTGATCTGAGAATTTTTTTTAACGAAAAGGAACCACACCTACAGTGATTAGTCTGGAACAGAAGGGGCGACACTCTCAGTATGAATCTCAAATCGACATAGTTCAGGGGCAGGCAGCTGACAAACCACATGCAACAAAAGTTGCCTCAAAGCGTATGAGAAAGAGGGGGAACCCCCTTGGCTTCTTACTGAAGTCAAGGGCAAAAATGTATGTATTTAAGTGTAAGCTATTACAGCGACTGTTACCACAACAAAGCACTTCTTGTTCCTCTCTTCCCAACTCACTGTCATTGGATGTATTGCACACGCCATGCATCAGGTTATAGAGAATACACTTTGATGCGATTGAGTTAGCAGCACAACAGGGAGACTAGCTGATCACTTCACTTGTTGACTCAAGTCCTCTAGAAAGACACTCTTGTTCATGTCTAAATCGCAGAAGTTTCTCCTCAGCTAGTAACAGACTTGCAAATGTAATCACCACTCAATGATTTTGTAATGAACTAATGGTTTCTTCCTGTCATTTTTCTGTTCGCTGGTGGTTCCTTTCCTTGGGTGAAGGATGCTGTCGGAAGGTTACCTTTGTGGGATCGCCTACCTTTGTGAAGATCTGCACCCTGAGCTCTACAGCAAGAGTTCGGCTGAGGAAGTGGTGTATGAAATGAAGTCCATTAGTTATTCTTCCACGGATGAAGCACAAGGAAAAAGCCTTCTTCAGAGATGCAGATCTGCTGGCAAGTGCATTTCATCCGTCTGTTCTAGAGGTAGCAAGCACAGCAGAAGGCAGAAGGATAATCTCCTTCAGCCTGTGCAGCACCCAGCGCCTGAAGGGCAGCCCTCTCCTGCTATGCATGCCTGCGAGGGGCTGGCAAGAAAAGACACCTACCTGGTCCCATCTTCCTGCAAAAGCATTTGCAAGAACTACAACGATTTGCACATTGCTGGGGACTACGTGGTGCCCATTAGCTCAGTCACGACAGATTTTACCTGCGACAGCGGCATAGGCCCCTTCTTGGAGTCCTCAGAGATTCCTCCCCCAATGGAGTCCGTGAGGGTCACCCCCAGCGACACCAGCCGCAAGCCGGCCCAAGGCTACTCCTCGTGCTGGCGGCTGGCAAGCTTAGTGCCCCACCAGCAGCCCCTCTCCGACTCGGCCCTGAATGACTACCTCGAACAGAAGCTGGTGGAACTGTATAAGCAGTACATCATGGATAGCACAGCAAACAGGGCATCCCCCACTCAGATCCTGGCCTCGGAGCTTATCATGACCAATGTCGATCAAATCAGCATGCAGATATCACGGGAGAGGAACATGGAGACCACCAAGGCCAAAGACATTGTCATCAGCCGCTTCTTACAAATAGCCAGTGAAAAAATACCCTCAGAAATTAGCACACCGAGCCTGCACATTTCCCAATATAGCCACGCTAATGCGTAGTATTTGAACGACTGCTGCTAGAAAGCTTTTATGTTCTGCAAAGTCAATTTTTAGTTTCTTAGGACATTTTTCTGCTTCATAAAAATGCATTTACCATGTACCACTTAAATTAAAACTTCCGGTACATATTAAAGAAGTAAAAATATTTGTACTCTGTACCCCCTGTAGTGGACCAGATGATTTATTGTTGGGGTTTTTTTAAAAAAAAAGGTTTTCCCCAAAGGCTTATTTCAGTGAGCCTCGGTCATTAAGAAAGTTTTGTAGAAAAATGACTAAGAGCATATGACACTCTTCCAGGTGCTCGGGTGTTCTCTTTCTTCCCCATGTGCTTGGCATCTCATTTCAACTTTCTTCTGTCTGGACTCTGCCATCCTGCCCCTTGTTCTGTGTGAAGTGAAGGCTTAGACCCACACCAGCACAAGCACAGTGATCGCAGAGCCACAGAAATACAGAATTCAGGACATCATCTGGTTCATCTCCCTGCCCCAAACGGCTTTACTCATGACATCCCTCACAGAGGTGTTTGTAATTTATTCTTATAGTTATCAGGGGATAGATACTTCATGGTTTCTTCTCTATTAACCCTCATTATTTCATTGGTGTCTTCTTGTTCAAAAGCTACCATCCCTTTTTGCAAAGGAAAAACTGTTTCCAAAGGGACTTCATCAGCAGGAGTGTGCGTGTACCCCTGCGTGCTTTGCACCGAACGGAACTTTTACAAGTGGATGCGGGCGACCTGTGGTCACAGGCAGACACCACTTTCACCGGATACTTGCAGGCCTGCAGCTGTGGAGTGGTCGTGCAGGGACAGTGATGGTAATAAAGGGGGAAGAGAAAGGAGAATTCGCCTTTGTTAAGAGAATTGCACATTGAAAGATAAGGGCTAATCCAAAGCCCATTTCATTAACGTGAACAGTTCCTTCGAAGGCAGAAGGAAAGCTGGAACGGGCCGCTCAGCAGCATGGCTAACCCCTTCTTTTGTCAGGATCACTGCTGTGTCTCGTGGGTCAAGGTCATTTGAACCTGATGTATTTCTAATAGGAAGGTCCTTTTTTGTAAAATTTCACTAAGCCTTAAAAAAGAAGAAGAAAAAAAAAAGGCCAAGGCTGGTTACCTACCTTGAGTCTGTATAACGTATAACATTGTCAATACCAATCCATTATTTGTTGAGTGTCTAAGTATCAGTATAATATAAATACTAATTTATAACAAATATTCATAAAATGTTTTCGTGTTATGGATTCCACAGTGTTGTTTTGGCCTTTGTGTTTTTTTTCTTTTCTTTTTCTTTTTTTTTTTTTTAATGCAAGGCATGCCTTTATGTATATTTCAAAAACAAGTGTAAAGTAGTAAACACGTCAGTTTATTCTACTGCTGCTTTCTTTCCAGAGATTACTGGGATAGCTCAGTATGTTTTCCTGCTTGTGCAATGAAGGGGTATCCAAAAAACCGTTGCCATAAGAACCTTTGATGTGTGAATACAGAGACTGTACCTCTGTTGCCATAGCAGCCTACCCAAATACTATTATTCAGCAATTCAAGATAGATAATTTCTGGCATATAATATTTCTAGACTGTGCTCAAATGCAATTTACGAGTAGACAAAAATGCTAATTTTAAGAGAAAATAACATTCATGGTAATGTATAGGCGCACACGTGTGTTTTGCATGCAAAATCCATTACCAACAGATCTCTCAAATACCTTGAAACTCACCCAGAATAAAAGGATACACTAGAATCTATGAAAATGGCTTGCAGAGGACAGCAAAAGTGAGCAAAGATAGCAATTTTTGTCCTGCAAAGGCAGATTCAGGCTTTTCAAAACACGGGGGGTTTGTTCATGCCCATTGACATTCACATCACTGAATTTCAGTAGCAGAAGATTAGTCGAAAGCAACTTGCAGCGCTGAATGCATAAATCAGTACCCTCGCTGAAAGATCCAGCACCTCCATCAGAGAACATAATCGCTTCTTCACTCAGCTCTACCCACGCCACAGACAGCGCGCTGCCTGAACAGCGCAGCGTTTTATCGTCTGTTACTCAGAAATCCTGTTCTTGATTTGCCCCCGCAGCCGGCAGGGCTGTGACCGAGACCTGCTGGCAGCTCCCGCTGGCCACGGCATCCCTGCCCAGCAGAGAGATGGGAAGCAGTGAGGGGGCTGCAGAGCAGGGGCTGAGGGCTCTGCCCAGACCCAGGTGAAAACATCCTCTCGTTTATTGGGCTCACTCCATAGCTGCTGCCTCAGGGGACTGCAGTGAGGGCTGGGGGCTCGGTATCCAGAGGGCAGTGCTATTGCAGCAATGCACTGCAGAGCAGGGGAGAAGATGAATCCTAAATGTACAAAAGTGGCCAGCAGGATGAGGGAGGTCATTCTGCCCCTCTACTCTGCTCTGGTGAGACCTCACCTGGAGTCCTGCCTCCAGCTCTGGGGTGCCCAGTACAGGAAAGACATGGACCTGTTGGAGTGGGTCCAGAGGAGGGCCACGAAGATGATCCGAGGGCTGTAGCACCTCTCCTGTGAGGACAGGCCGAGAGACTGGGCTTGTCAGCCTGGAGAAGACCGTGGGGAGACTTTATTGTGGCCTTCCAGAACTTAAAGGGAGCCTACAAGAAAGATGGGGATGGACTTCTTAGTAAGGCTGGTAGCGGTAGAACAAGGGGTAATGGTTTTAAACAAAAAGAGGGTAGATTCAGACTAGATGTAAGGAAGAAATTTTTTATGATGAGGGTGGTGAAACACTGGAACAGGTTGCCCAGAGAGGCAGTAGATTCCGCATCCCTGGAAACATTCAAGGCCAGGTTGGATGGGGCTCTGAGCAACCTGGTCTAGTTAGCGGTGTCCCTGCTCACTGCAGAGGGGTTGGGCTAGCTGACCTCTAGGGGTCCCTTCCAACCCAAACCATTCTATGAATGCATGGCTGGTGCATATAGAGGGCATGTTTGATTCTTACCTTTGATTAATTGATCAACTATAAATCATTCCATTCTTATGCAGCTTTCTCCCAGGCAAATGACTTAATATAATCATACCTACTTTCAAGTAAAGGTCTTGTTTTGTAGTGTCAGACTGACATCTATGAATTTTATTTATGGAAGGGTCACAATCATTGCAGAAGCTGATTTATTCTGGAAAGACAGCATCAACCACTTCTTCCCCACATATGGGTATTTTCTTGCCCCTGCCTAAATATAAATCCCCATTTCATTTTGAGCCCTGTAGCATGACTGCTTCTCGCATGAATTACATACCAGCCACCACGTTCCATCATCCGATCAGTACCAACTAACTCTTGGATTTAAGTCAGTTTCTACATAAACAGACAACTGTGTCTTACTTTCCACTGTGCTCAGCTGAAAGTTCATTTATATCTCTGTCCTTCCTCCACTAACCTTCCTCTGCACAGGTGCCTCTCTAGGTGTGGCTCTTTCCTGCCAAATGCACTTGGATAGCAATTAGACTGCTATTAGGTAAGTCAGGGTGTTACCTAAAGCGATTATCATCTTCTCTGTCCTTCTCCCTCCCTCCCCTCCTCTTCTGCCTCAGGGTCAAATGTTTAAAGAGAGAGATCCCAATTTCTTAGGAGCTCCATTAAATAACTAATTTTTAGCCAGGGACACATCGTTTCTTGACACGAGCTTATCAAAATTCTGATGGAGTCCCGATGGCTGGGGAGCGCGTCCTGGAGAGGAGAGTTTGAATTCTGCCCTCACAATACTTCCTAATAGTATGGCTATTTTAATATGACTAAGATCATTTAAGAAGGCAAAGAAAATTGCAATGAAAATTTTGGTAACTGTTTGATTGATATTTTGACCAACCGTCAAGAAACTGATCCCAGAAGGATAGTTTATAACCACCTTCAGCATACTCTAGCAGCTTCCTTCGGCGTTTTTTACAGAACATATTACTCATTGCTGATAACATGGTCACAGCGGCTAGGACTTGTATTGTTTGTATGCAGTGTGACTGTGCCCCCAAGAGCC